TACCATTATCAACGATTGGACTTTTATTTTCACTGATGTAGAAGACAGTAATCAGTTTTTTCTCTATACTTAGGCAGCTTTCTCTTCGGCAACATGTTTTTGTAAGTTATATATGCATATCCGCATATCTGTGCTTACTGACTTCTTTGCACGATTTTGTCCTCAAAAAATTTATTGCAGTTGTCGATGGCCAGATCAAACGATTGCCAGATGAAGACATACAATCTAATGTTCTCGAAATTGTTGGGTCAAATCCAGCGGATCCAAACGCAACACTTGGCATAAAGCTACCATTCTTAGTCATGATTGTGAAAAATATGAAGAAGTACTTCACATTTGAAATTCAGGTGCTGGATGATAAGAATGTCCGCCGAAGATTTCGAGCTTCTAATTTTCAAGTCTGTAAGTCTTACCAGTATCTATTTAAGCGTAATACTTACAGATCTTATTCTTATGACCTGTTGATGATACTTGAGTTCTCTCTTTTCAAGTCTTTTTGAATGTATTCCTCGTAGTGTTCGGTGTACTTCATCCCAATTTACATGTTTTGGTGAATTTTACGTTTGCATTTTTTCCATTTATCTTCCATTGCCAATCAAAACCCGAGAACAAATTATTTTACTGGGCCAATATGATAACACAATCATTTTTCTTACTGTTGATTTCTCCAAACATGGTTTTATTTTTTAAAGCAGAAACTTCCAGACATAAAATTGGGACAATTTCCTTTTCAGTAGTGCCATAGACTTGTTGAAATTAAAAACTGAAATGTGGTGTACCGAAAATCGAAAGTAATTAATTCTTTTGAAAATATAAATACTTGAGAGCAATCTTTATATATAAGCATTATGTTTATTCTTTCAAATGTGCGTGTTTAAGTTAGAGCCCTTGTTTTTTGCGTCCTTTGCTTGTCATCCTGTGATATGATGTAATAGTATTCTGTTTTCTTTTTATTTATGAGTTAGTCACAGCTTAAATAACTATTTTCACATAAATGGATGCATAGTGTGGAAAGTTGGTGTCTAAAAGATTCGATTTTGTGTTCAAGTATGATAGATGTGGACAAGGAAAGGAAAAAAAGGTCAAAAAGGAAATAATTCTTATCATCATGTGCCGTATCTGCATTTGAAATGGCAAAGACCATAATCTTAATTATCGAAAGAGGAAATAGGCAAATTATGTTTGGTGTTGCTAAATCTCCAAAAAATCGAAATTAAGTAAAATAAATCAGGGACCACATTCTTGCATGAGTGTTGTGCTCCACTTAGTGCCATCATTTAAAATGGAATTCTCTCTATTGGGTGTTAGAGAAGATCTTAGATATAAGTAAATAATCTTTCTTGTGGGAAAAAAGAGAGGGAATGATATGATTCTACATTTTAATAAAAGCTGAACTGTGGCTCTGAAGAAAGTCTCAGGATATCAAGTATTATGACTCTTTGAAGCTTATTTAACGAGTGCAAGATGTTTCAGACTGTGAAATCGATAGATGTGTCCCTTGTTTTATTGATGTGCAAACTAAAATTCTCACTACTCTGTCGTAGGCTGTTACAAGAGTCAAACCTTTTATCTGCACCATGCCCTTGAAACTGGATGAGGGATGGAATCAAATCCAGCTGAATCTTACTGATTTGACTAGACACGCATATGGAACCAACTACGTCGAGGCACTGCGAGTTCAGGTTCATCCAAATAGCCGTCTAAGGAGGATATATTTCTCTGACCGCCTTTATTCAGGGGAGGAACTCCCACCAGAATTCAAGTTGTACCTTCCTATTCAGCGGGTAAGGCCATCACTGGCTAAGCAATTATCGGGCAAATATTGTTGGTGTTTGAACTCAACGGTTTTGATTGTGTGTTGATTATTGCAGAAAATATGAGGAATCTGGGAGAAATTCAATGGATGACAAGAACCAAAATGATCGGCCCAGTTCCTGGTTCTAGTGACTCTTTCGGCGAAGTTAACTAAATATCTGTAATCGATGTACTTGGCTTATTGCATAATCTCATAGAAAACTTCTAATGGACCTGGTTGAAACCAATTTTTGCTCGTTTTTGGAGTTCAGCGACCGTAAATTCTGGCTATATGTCAACTGGTCCATAGCATAGACACTGGAGAGCACAATGCACCCAAGTTTTGAGCTGAAAATATATATCTGTTCTCCGTGTTGGACGGAAGAGGCGGAGCGGAGCAACTGTTGATTTCAAGTTAAAGAGGAATGAATGAAAACCACAACTATTATGGCAACGAAATAAGAACTCAAACCCAGTAAAAAACAGAGGTCTTTCTCATTGTAAATACATACCCTATTTCACACATTATCAGACAGGTGGAATAATATAACGATCGATTTTCTGTCAACTATCTCTAGCACCAGAGCCAGCTATCTACGAGCACCTCGAAGAGGAACAGAAACCTCACCGAGGTAAGGGCAGATTTGCTTCCTGAAGGGGAGAGCCCAAACTGTTCAGATTCACTTTTTGTTTTGTTTTCTTCACATACAGTATTACAGCAAACTGGAGGAATATCAGGGAAGAAGAACTGAAGGAAGCTTCTGGAAAATGGAGGGAAATCTTATTCAAAAGAAAATGAGTTACATCAGCCGTATATATAGAGCTTGTGTGAACTAATTAGATAGCACATTGACAGCTGTACAATAGCCTAACTGATTTACAAACTAGTTATGAAACTAATCAGCTAACTAATATTTTGATACTCCCCCGTCAAGTTGGACTAAGGAGATTGATAATAGCCATCTTGGAGAGTAGAGGAAAGAAAAGAGAAGCTGGCAAAGCTTTAGTCAACAGATCTGTCAACTGGTGTTGAGATCGAACCGGCAATAATTTGATGAAATCATTAGCCACTTTATCACGAACAAAATGACAATCAATCTCGATGTGTTTTGTTCGTTCATGGAAAATAGGATTATTAGCAATGTGGATTGCAGTCTGGTTATCACAAAAAATTAAGGCTGGCGACGATGAAGAGATCTGCAAATCAAGAAGCATCTGATGTATCCACATTAAGTCACTAGCAGTAACTGCTAGCGCTTGATATTTTGCCTCTGCAGATGATCTGGAGACCATTTGCTGCTTCTTAGCCTTCCAAGAAATGAGAGTGTCCCCAAGGAAAACACAAAAGCCAGTGATAGATTTCCTTGAGTCAATGCATGAACCCTAATCTGCATCAGCAAAAGCATGTAGCTGCAAAGAAGAGGAAGCTGAAAAGAGCAAACCTTGACCTGGAGCTGACTTAAGAAACCGTGAGCTGCATCAAGATGTGGTTGACGAGGTTTGGAAAGAAATTGACTAAGTTTGTGGACTGCAAAAGTGATGTCTGGACGAGAAATAGTTAAGTAGAGTAAACGGCCAACAAGTCTTCGGTATGATGAAGGATCATCATGAATCAGATGATCTTTGAATCGAAACGATCAATGAATCAGAATATCTCCAGTTCAACTGGTAGCTCTGATACCATATTACAGCAGAAGAACTGGAGGAATATCAAAAAAGAAGAACTGAAGAAAGCTTCTGGAAAATGGAGGGAAATCTTATTCAAAAGAAAATGTGTTACATCAGCCGTACATATAGAGTTTGTGTGAACTAATTAGACAGCACATTGACAGCTGTACAATAGCCTAACTGATTTACAAACTAATTACGAAACTAAACAGCTAACTAATATTTTGATATACAGTAGTACTATTGCTCGTTTTATAGTCAGAAAAATTGAAGCCCCATTCAAAGTAATGGCATCGAGCACCTCTAGCAGCAGTCCAGTTTCCACACCCACCCCACGATAACTACGAGGATGGTATTGCTTGCAAGTCCCTCAATTTTCTGTCGTTCCAAGTGAGAGAGTTAGTAATAGAAAATTGATTTAAAGCCTCTTCGCAAGAAAGCGGGCAGGCAATAGCACCATCCAGACCTTGAGACAGAAAGGAAGTTGATCCATCCATCAAATACATTTTTGTCGCTGGGGTGAATGATTGGTAATCCTCTAATTAGTAGTCCAGTCTGTCCAGTATGTTTGGCACCCATTTTTATCAAAATGCATTTTTCTCTCTCTTCTTTTCAACCACACATTCTTTATTAAAATAATATTACACGTAAATCAAAAACTTTTTCTTATTTTTCAACCACACATTTTCCATCAATTTACTATTCAAAAATTCATTTTCACATAAAAATTCCTATCAAACACCCTCTTATTTTTATTATTAGGAAATTTTTTATCAAAATTAATCACTCTTTTGTATTTGATATACGTTAACATTGAGATATTCAAAGTACTGTAATTATTTTCACAATCAAATAAAAGTTGGCATTTTTCAGTTAGCCACCGTTTGATAGGTAGCAATTTTCTAGGGAAAATGGAATTAAAATGTCAATTTTTAACTTTTGTGTGGTTGATAGTGTTATATGTTATATGGAAATTAAGTTCTTGGATTTCTTGGGAGTTGTTGTTTTCTAGCTTTTGTGGAAAAATTAATTCCCACCAATATGGTAGGAATTGATTTTCCAGGTAGTTGGCTTATTATTATTATTTTTTTGTGGTAATGGAAACAAATTTTAAGAATTATTATAAAAATATATTTCTCTTTAATTGACAATTTTCATGTAAAATAAAGCCAAACAAACATCAAAAGATAGATGATTTTCTTAATTTTTTTTTTTTTTTGGTAATGGAAACAAATTTCATCCCCAATACTGATAAATTTCATCTTTTTGATTAACAATTTTCATGTAAAACAAAGTCAAACGAACACAAAATTACACTTTTATTTCAACATTTTTCACATGAAAAATTATACCAATCAAACATAATAATTTACAATTACCAGGAAAACAATTTCTAGGCAATTCAATTCTCTGAAATTCGTTTTCTTTCTATCCAAAATTCATCTTTGCAATCAAACGGACCCTTAGATGAATTAAAGTAACTTACATTATGCCCTTGTTTGAGCCACATTATTCTCCTTAAAATACATTTTTGAATAGTGTACTGATGGAAAATATGTGGTTAAAAAATAAAGAAAAAATTTAGATTTGTTTATAACATTATTTTATTAAAGAATGTGTTATTGAAATAATATCAGATCGCTATTTAAAAATATATATATTTTGTAAAAAAATATGGCTAAAAAATGGCCTATATATTTAATTTTATTTTAAATGTGACCTAAACCACTACTACACAACACATTGTTAAAGTTGATTTTTTAAAATTTAAAATGAGACTGTGACAAGCTTTCCCCATACAACGTCGGGCCCACACGTAATTTCATCCCTGCAAATCACTCATTGCATTGGGACTGGAAAGCCCAATGGCTTGGAAGTTGAAGCGACGCAAATTTCTCTGAAGTTTCAAATTGATCCAGTTTATTTACAATCCTCTCTCTCAAATTTTCTCCGAAACCCAGTTATCATCGAATCTACAGATACAGGATATATAAGCTGGTTTCTTGTATATATGCTCTGCTGCTTCGAAACTCACTGAGGCGGGAATGTTGCATGTGTGCGTGCAGAACAAAGAAGGTCTTTTTGTGAGTATATGTGAACGCCTCTCTTCTTATTTATATATGTACTGGGATATGGAACAAAACCGTGTTTGTGATTTTTATTGATATACGAGAGATGCATGCTGGTAGTCCTTGTTTGAGTTCTGTAGCCAAGCGAACCAGAAGCCAATGGGAAATCTTTTATAGAAATTGGCACAATGAGGTGAAGAAGGAAGAGGCTAGTGAAGCTGGTGTGGGTGATAATGAAGGTTCATACTCGTTGAATCCTGAAAATAATGAGATTTCTAAGAAAAGGGGTGTGAAAAGGACAGGAGAGAGTGTCGATGGGAAGAATGCTGACTCAGTGGGTGGTGGTTCGAGGGGAAAGAAGAAAAGTGGTAAGAAGATTGATAGTGTTGATGATCAGATTATTGGCTCTTGTTCGAAATCCGGGCCGATTTCAAATGTAGGGTGTGATGCTTTTAAGAAATGCGGGTTTTCTGATGTTGATGAGACAGCACAGGGTAGAGGAAGACCCCGAGTTGCACCTTCGAACGAGGGGATGCATGTATCTATTGATGCTTCAGTTGATTTAGGAAAGTCGGTTTTGTTTGTTGATTCAGAAGATTCAGAGAAGTCAATGGATTTGGAATCATCAGATACTGCTAATTCTAATTCTGATGATTCAGGGATGTTAGAATCAAATTCGAGCAGTGAAGAGGAGAATGATAATTCTGATAAGGATATTTCATCGGCCCCTGGCAATTCAGATGTTTCAGATACTGCTAATTCTAATTCTGATGATTCAGGGATGTTAGAATCAAAATCGAGCAGTGAAGAGGATTCTGACAAGGACTTTCAAGTTAATATTTCATCGATCTCTGGCGATTCAGATGTTTCTAGTTTTTGCAGTGATGATGCATGTTGTGATGGCAGTCCCATCGAAATTAAAATCGATTCCGAAGAAAAGGAGCGAACATTTGTTCATCAAGAGGAAAAATGCATCAATGTTGGAAATAGTAAGATAATTAATGAGGAGAGAGACGGTGAAATGGCTGGTTCAAAAAGAAATTACGAACAATATTCAGATTATGGTTGTATGGACAATCCTCAGGAAGTTGGAGATGGTACTATGAAATCGAGCAAGGAAGAGAATGAGGATTTAAACAAGAGTGGTTTAAAGAAGAGAAAATTCTCTGGCATACAAAATTTGGCCGATCGCAACGAGGAGCATGATAAAGAGCAAACGAGTATGACAGGATGCCTAAGACCCTGCATGATTTCTAGGCCTCAAAAGAAAAATCTCAACTCACACTCCGAGAATGAAGAGTCTAAATCACAAACAAAGGATAGCTGCAACACTAAATGTGTGCAAAGAACAGATCAAAAAGGAAGAAGGAAGGTATGGACACCCAGAACAAAAAATCTTGACTCAATCAAGATGTTGATTAATTCAATAGAGAAGGAAGCACAGGAACCTGTGAAAAAGCATACTTCTGTTGATATCAATGCTATGAATCCAAAATCCTTGCCATTTAAGTTCAGGTTCGAGGATGAGGAGCCATCTCCGCCGGAGAAATCAGAATGGGAGAAGGAAATTGATTCTCTTTTCTGTGATTTGGATATGGGTCTCCGGGAATCTGAGTTCGGTTGCAAGAATTCTTCAACAGTAATATCACAGATCTCTGTTTGATTTTGCTTGATTTGATGTAAACTTTAGTCTTCCTAACTTCATTAGGTAATTATTTATGAAGGATATAAGCAACTCTAAAATTTTAAAAATTATTGCCAAATATAGTCAATTATGTTGGTACAGAAACCAATTACCAGCCATATCACGTTTTCAATGACCCTTTAGGCACATGGTTGGTACATTGATTTTTTTTAATTTCCATATCTTCTTCGTTAACATTTATTTGCCAAAGTCAGTTATCTGTTATCTATCTTTTTTACATTTTGTTGTTTATTAATGAGACGCCCATAGCTGGAGAGCCAAGTTGCACCTTTGCATAATAGCTTATCAAGATTATTTTAGAAGTTTTCTGACAACATGAAAAATCGACATGTAGTCATGTATTTAAATGTTTGGAAGATTATTAATGTTTCGAAGTCTGTTACTGTTGTGTTATATAACAGTTATTTATTATTTATTTTTATTTTTATAAATGTGTTTGTAATATTTGTTTTTTCTTTCATTATCCTTTTTTCCCGTTGTTTTGAGAGGTACAATATGTCAATTTTTCTGATAATCTGTTTACTTTTATGTGCAATTTATCTAATAGGTACCAATTTTGCTTTGTTGATCTGCAGAGTAATGATGATGATGACATCATTCCGCAAGATATTGACTGCACTCCGGCTGCCCGTTGTAGTCGAGGGGAGCATGATCCTGTTCTTGACGATCAGATAGGAATTAAATGCAGATATTGTTCTGCTGTGATTCTTGAAATTGAAGATATCTTACCACCTTTTGTAAGTAATGAATTTTGCCCATTTAGCTTAAAAAAGAAGTCCCTTCTTACGTCTTATTTCTGTAAATACCGTTTGCTCAGTCCTCTATTGTTCTAGATGCTAGGCACTTTCTAAAATCTTAACGATACGTGAGTTTTTACTAATGGGAAGGGTGGTTGTGACTTGTGACACATGATAAATTATTCGTAAATGCACTTAGTCTTGAGTCTGACCCTACAACCTTGTAGTGTATAATATTAGGATGTTATGGTTGTATAATTCTGCTAGTGACTCGAGGAATTTGATTGTTTGATTGGTCAAATTTACAGTCATATTCGAATGTAGAGTATTGGAGGAGCTTGTTTGAGCATATCTTGATAATTACCTTGATGTCTGCAATTGGTAAACTCTACTGTTAGGTTAATGATCATTCTTCCCGTGAAACTGGAGATAGAACTAATTTGACTGGTGTTAAAGAGTGCAGAGCTGCACATATAATACATTTCTCTTGTAACTTAGATTACACCTAATATAATAGCAGCTGAGGTAAACACGGGCTTGAAAGTATATTTTGAGGCTTTGAAACTTTCTACTATTTTGTCAACCTAAATCTGCATTATGAGTTCATATAAGCATGTTCAGTTAAACTTAAAAGTAAGTCAAATCTATTAAGTAACTTTTGGTCTCCAAACATGTTTTGATTATTTTCTTCCTATAAGTTAAAAAGGTACTTAATTGGCAGTAGTAGGTTACAGTTCCAAAATATTATTAATATGAAAATCTACCTGGTTATTTACAAGTGGAGTGATTAATGTTTAGCCAAACAAATAATCCTCTTTAGCTTTACCATCTTTTTTATGCCAGATGTCTGTATAATTTGATTTTCGTTATTTGATTATATCTTGTTCAGTATACACCATCTTCCGGGAGACAGGACAGGAAGTACTTTTATGAATCACATAGCTGTATCTTCAACGAGAATCAGTTTCAGGACTCTGCTTGTGGAAATCCCAGTTCTTCGTCTATTCATGAAGGAGACACTGTGTGGGATTTGATTCGTGGCACTAAAAGTAAATTGTATCCGCATCAACGGGAAGGGTTTGAATTTATGTGGAGAAACATAGCTGGAGATATTTTCATTGAGAAACTGAGAAGGCAGTTTTCTGAAGATGGTAAAGGATGCATTATTTCACATGCTCCTGGTACAGGCAAAACCCGACTCACCATAGTGTTCCTCCAGTCATTCATGAAACTCTATCCAACATGCCGACCAGTGATTATTGCTCCCCGTGGCATGCTCCTCACTTGGGAAGATGAATTTCGAAAATGGAATGTTGCCATACCTTTTCACAATTTGAATAGTCTGGAGTTGTCTGCCGAGGAAAATGCTGTTTCTCCGGAAATTATTAGCCAAGTAGGCTGTCACGGGAGGAGCCAGGAATACATTCGTTTGATTAAGTTTTCCTCCTGGGTGAAGGGTAGTAGTATCTTAGGAGTCAGCTACCAGCTGTTTGAGAAGCTTGTTGGGGAGCATCGGAAAAAGGGAGAACATGATCAAATCTGGAAACTACTGCTTAAATTGCCCGATCTTTTAGTACTGGATGAAGGACACACCCCTCGCAATCACCAAAGTAGAATGTGGAAGGCTTTGACAAAGGTTGCAACAAACAGGCGCATTATCTTATCTGGTACTCCTTTCCAGAACAATTTTAGAGAGCTATACAATACACTATGCCTTGTTAATCCAAAGTTAATGGATAAGATTGATAAAATTAGTCGAAGTTGCAAAAAGGGCTGGCGAGAGATAAATGGAAGTCGGGGAAAATGGACAACTTCGTCTAAGTCTATTGATAAAACCATGGACGATGAATCCACAAAGCTTAGAACCATGATCGATCCATTTGTACATGTACATAAAGGAAGTATTCTTCAAGAAAGTCTTCCTGGATTGAGGGATTCTCTAGTTTTCTTGCGGCCGACTGAATTGCAAAAATCCTTGCTGGAAATTGCTTCAAAAGCTAAGCCATTTTTTCATGAGGTTTGCTTGGTGTCCTTGATCTCTGTTCACCCTTCGTTGGTGGCTAAAGATGAAATGTTCTCAGCTTTTAAGAGTGAAGTACAAAGGATTGAATCAACAATTGATGCAGGAGTAAAATCAAAGTTTGTCATTAAACTAATATGGCTAGCTGATGCACTTGGTGAGAGGGTTTTGGTCTTCAGTACATTTATAAATCCTTTAATCTTCATCAAGCAGCAGCTCGAGCATCATTTTTCTTGGAAAGAAGGAAGAGAAGTACTTTACATGGATGGGCAACTTGAAGAGCATCAGCGTCAAAATTCTATATGTTCTTTCAATGATTTTTCAAGTGAAGCTAAGGTGCTTCTTGCGTCAACAAGAGCATGTTCCGAAGGAATCAACTTGATTGGGGCTTCTAGAGTTGTGTTGCTCGATACTGCCTGGAATCCATCAGTTGAAAGGCAAGCCATAAGCCGAGCATATCGGCTTGGTCAGAAAAGGGTTGTGCATGTATATCACCTGATCACATCTGGGACTATGGAGTTCAGAAAATATGCACTACAAGCTCAAAAAGATCGCATTTCGCAACTGATATTTTTTCCTACAGACGGACCACCGACTTGTGATAGCGAAACATCAAATATTGTTGCCGAAGATAGAGTCTTTGAAGCACTGGTTGAAGATAAAAGTTTCAGTCACATTTTTGAAAAGATAATTCACCAACCAAAAGCATCTGATCTGATTGAAACTTTTGATTTTGTGGATCACAACTCACAAGTGGTAACTCCATCGTAATGTTCCTGTTCCTTGGTGCAGAATGGTATGTCACATACTTCATTCATGGGAAGATTTTGTCTCTTGGTCTCCATTTTTAACTCCACCAGTTGTACCCAAGGTTAGTATGGTATGGTATGGTATCCACGCAGCTTTTTCTCTCCCATCATTCTAGATATATTGCGTCTCCTATTGTCATTTTGAAGATTGAAGGTTATTACCTTCAATTTCTGTTACAGTTTTTGCATTTTGTCTGCAATTACTTGGAATTTTATTTGATGGGGGATACAATGTTAAGTCTGCCTATTTTATCGAATCAAACTTCTCCTCGGGAAATTGTTTAGTTTGTCGGTTAAGCTCTTCGTGTTCTAAGTTCCTGTCATAACAGGGGTTGCATAGCTTCTCCAGACTGCCTCTGAATATAACTTCAGCCCTATAACCATAATGCCATGTTCTTTACCAGGCAAAACCTGATGGTGACGACTGACTTTAAGCCAATATCTTTCGTTAAAACGTTCTATTAAACAGAATTAAGAAAAATATATTGTGATAAAAAAATTTCAACTGTTATCTTTTAATAAAGGTTAATCGAGTGGTAAAAGTCTAAAGTAGCTCGACTCTTGTTTGGCTTGGCCCTCGTGGAGAGATCAGTTCTATGGTCTTGCAATCTATGCATGCCTTTTTTCGTTATTTCAAAAAATTAAGGGTGTGTTTGGTTTGCCTTATTATGTCATTTTCAGTTTTTTAAAATGCTCAAAATTTGTTTGATGTGTCATTTTCGAAATTGCATTTTTGAAAACAATGATAAATTTATAACATAAAATTCAATGCGTCAAAATTACGTTTGGAGTGTTTTCATGTGAAAGCACTCAAAAACATGCTAAACTAAATAAAAGCATATTTGAATGTATGCTACAAAGTAAAATTAAGTTTGTAAATTTCATTAGTTAAAATATAATTTTGAAATTATGTACAGAGTACTTTTAATTGCAAATAAACATGTAACTGACCTCTAAATGATAATCTACAAAACTTTCTCACCTAGACAGGGTTTTTTCTCGCTAAATTAGATATCCTACTACTCAATAAGCAGTAAGATGAGAAATGACTATTTGGGAGAAAGCTATTCAAAATTCAACGTAGCATTTTTCATCTCAAGCACACCTATTTATAGATTTTTATTCAAGCCTTGGGAGTAAATGAGTCGTTTTAGTTAGTAACATGTGGCTAACTTCTAATTGATTATATTATTTGCACACATTTTATTCACAAACTTAATCCTTACGTCCTTGTTTAAGTACTTTAAATGGCATTATCTATTTAAGGAAGGTTACTTATGAGGTTTCTCCTATATGAATGGTTTCAACTTAATTTGAATTCGCATATATTTTTTGCCTTTTGATACTCTTATAAGGATATATATCAATTCCCTCGAACATACAAAAGGACTAATAATTTTACATTGCTTTTAACGTATGCTTACACAATCATAGAAATGAATCTCTTTTTTGTTTTTTTTTTTCAGTGTGTTGATCATCAACACAATACAAAAGGATTGAATGGGACTAGATCGAATAAGTCAAGTTGTGTCTGGGGTGAAGTTTTAGTTTTTACATTGGCAAAGTAGAAAACTCGAAATTGTTGTACAAGTTAATTATATCCTTAATTTCAATTTTAAGTAGTATTTGGCAATGAAAAATTGGATTTTCTATACTTGAAATTTCTTAGTTTAATACACTAAATATTTCGATTAGCTCGATTGAACAGAAATTAACTAAAATTGAATTCAAATATATTTTATTTGATAGAGCAACTTTCGAGTTTTTTTGTACCTTCTCCAAATTTCCCTTTGACTGCCATATCTAATGCGGAACTACTTTCAAAAAGGTCACAAACTCAACAGTTCTTGCATGCTTTTTCGTTATCCTAAAAAATTAACTAAAATAAAAAACAAGTCATAATTGTAGCTGTCGAGGACGCTACACTTAGTGCATATTTGGTATTGAATTTTTTACCTAAAAAATTAATTTTGATCGTTATTTTACTATTCAAAACGTCATTTTTTTACTTCTTCTCTTACAGGTAGTGTCCAATTTTCTCTCTAACAGTCAAAAAATCAATTCTCAAAAGCATTAACGAACAAGCCCTATGTTTTTTGAATTTGAGTAGCGATGAAATGCAATACTTGGATTCACATTTGAATCTTAATAGAAACTTAAAATTGGTTGCTTCTTACTATTTTGAGATATTAAATACATTGAAACAAGAAATAATGCATAATCTATAAACCCTCGCAAAAGAGGGTGTGGATCGCGTCTAAATCTCGTGCTAGTCTCTTGTTGAGTTTCCCCTCCTCGCAACTGCATCAAGAACTTGACAAGAAGTAACATCACATGAGCTGTACAATACCTTACTTAAGCCTGTAATAAAAGTAGGAAAACATTTTTTTTCCAAATGTATGAAAAGTAACATTACACGAGTACGGTAAAATGGAAAACATTGTGTGCACATCCTGGCGGTCAAATTCCTTACGAGGAAAACGGCAGATGTTGACATTTAAGCTCCGTCACTTGTCCGTTAAAACATTCCATTAAAGATATTGTAATAAAAAAAAAATTATAATATATTATGATTTGTATAAAGGTGAACGAGCGGTTCAAGTCCAGGTGTTTGGCTCGCCAGTTCATCATCATTTTTCTAATTTTTTGTAAGTGAAAAGATAACGTAAAAAAATTATTATTGATATACAAAATAATTTCAAATACGAGACCGCTATGTTTTGGACAATTTCGATTAATATTGTTTTATCATAAAAGAGCTCAAAATTAATTTTAAATTAAGCCACTTTTAGTGAAACCAAACGATAATTTATTTTTTTCATTTCTTGTGCTTAGCACTTGTCAATTTACTTATGTAAATATGGTATAAAAATTGCATTTTCCCTTTTTTGAATAACAAATAAGTATTTCCATTTAAGACAATTAAATTAATATGTTCTCTTTTTCCAAATGTAACTTCACATGGGTTGAATAGCTTCGCCAGTCTACCTATGAATATCAAGAGACCATTTATATCTTCAAGCCAATAGCAAAAGCAGATGGTGACATATTGGATAGTATCTTTCATAAATACATTAAATTAAATAAAATTAAGTAAAAGATCTTTTGATAAATAAAAAATAAATTTAAATGGTCTTATTTAAATAAATTGAGTGGTACAATTCTAATCTAGCTCGATTTTGTTCAGTTTGAGGAGAGACAAGTCCTCCCATCCCCTGTTCGTTTGTTTGTTTGTTTTTTTTTTAAATTAAGTTAAAAATTAAATTTATTAGTGAAAAAATAATTTTCAAATTAAGTACAAAAGAAGTAAGTTTAAGTCGTTTTTAACTTCTACCAAACAATTTTCTATCAAGCGTACAAAAGGGCTGCAAATTTTAACTCGGTTTCAATATGCGCATTAATAACTATAAAAATGAATTACTTTTCTTGAGTGTTGTTTATCATCACCAATGCAATACAAAGAGATTAAATCTAACTCTTATCAATAAAGAATAATGCTACTTGTATATAATTAAGTTGCATAATAGTTTACATATATATGAAGTGTTAAAAAGATACTGCGAAATTTATTTATTTTTCGTTTGGTGGAAGAAATTTTGACACAATTATATCTTACTATATTATGTGCATGTAAATCATTATGTACATATAACACAACCTGTCAACATTTGAAGAGCCAAAGTGTATGTGAACTCAAAATAAGTTGATAAGCATTTGTAAGCATGAAGCCTCATAAGCGACCCTAAGCGCATAGTGCGATCCAATATAATAGAGCAAAAACATAAGAATTTTGTTGGCTAATAAAATGTGAGTAGATAACGAAATCAGTTAGTAGTCTATTAATCAATAGCTACCACATGTCACCAACAAAAAAGACCCACTTACTCCCTATGCTTGATTAGAAATCAGTAAATAGGCATAACAACATGAATAAATGGAAGCAAAAATTGAATAACTTCCTTCCAAATAGTTATTTCTCCTTTTGCTCCTTATTGAGTATTAAATTAGCAAGTTAGGAGTTGAAAACTCTCATTAGGTAAGAAATTTGTAGATCATAATTTAAGCCCCTGTTTGGCCCCCATTTTGTGTAAATAAAAAGGGGTGGAATAGTATTTTTTTGAAAAATAAGTGGTTAAAAAAGAAACAAATTTTTTCGATTTACGTGTAATATTATTTTATGAAAGATTGTAAGGTTGAAAATAAAAGAGAAAAAAACGAAATGGAATGAAATGAAAATTAATGGAGGCCAAACGGAGGCTAAATGTCAATGATGACATAACTGAATAGGCTAATTTATAGTTGGGCCAGGATCAGTTTTGACATTGCTAAAGAATTATAGAATTACAACTTAAATTTATATTTAAAAACACAAATCCTATTGATTATTAATTATATTAAAAGTTAATTCTATCCTTAATTTTGTTGTAATAGTTGATTCTGGAGACCAAATCTGAAACTTCAGGTAATGTTTGACAATGAAAATTGATTATTTAATTATTTATTTATTATTATTATTATTTTTTTTTTTTTTTGTATGTTTGGAAGATTTTTAGTTTAATGCACTAAATATTTCAACAAACTCATTTTGAATTGAAATTTACTAAACCCATGTTTGAGCTTCATTTTTCCCAAAAATCAATTTCAACCACGCATTCTCCTATAAAGTACAAGTAAATTCAATTTTTTTTTACCTCACATTCTCCAAAAGTCACTACTGCAAAACATATTTCTCTATATAAAAAAATCGAAAAAGGAGCTCAAATTGGATTTAGGCTTTGTTTGTCTACTATTCCACCACATTATTTTTTCTACAGTACTCATTTTCAACTATACATTCTTCATTAAAATAATATTACATGTAAATCAAAAACTTTTTATTCTTTTTAACCACACATTTCAACATCAATCACTATTCCATAATACATTATTTACAAATGATGGGGTACAAATACCCCCTTAAATATGTTTTATTTGATAGAGAACAACTTTCCATTTTTTACCTTTTTCATATTCCGTTTGACAATTGTATCTAATGCATTTACGAATTTCGACTCTCAGAATCCTTCTCATTCAGAAAAGATCGCAAACTCAAAGTCCATGAATGATTTTTTTTTATTTATTTTTCTTTCATTATCAGTTATGACAAATGATTAACTAAAAAAAAAAAAAAGAATTGGAAGCAATCGAGTCAAGTCTATAGCCTTTTTTATTGTGCGTATAGAGCATTCAATGAGTTCTCCAAATTCAAGTAGTAATGAAATCCTAGCATTAAGAAATAACACCACATGGGTTGTACTGCACAGTTCCTTCATATTTAATTGTATTTAGTAAGTTTTAATTTAATAAATAATGATATTCCTTTCTATCAATATAACAAATAAAATTGACCACGTGTTTCCATTCTTATAAGATAAAATTGACAACTTACCTGCTTTTCAAATGTAAAAAAAGTAATATCACGAGTATGGGCAATGGGTGGTCAAATTACTTAACGGCAGATGTCGAAATTTAAGCCCCGTTACAACATTCCGTTAAAGAATGCTCCGTCCAAAGTCACCCTACAAAAGAGTGGAGAATTGAAGTACACTAACTGCCTTGTAGCATGCACAAATATAGAAATTATCAATTTTTTCATGGTTCTAAAACTATGAAGGAAAAAAAATAGAATTACAAATTTACATCGGTAAAGAATTACAACTGAAACTTCAAATAATTAAGAAATTCCCATATATTAATTAGCAATTTTTACGAAAAATCAAAATTTTCTATGATCTTGTTCTCCAGTGCCCATCAATTTGGAGAGATGCACGCTGGTAGTCCATCTTCGAGTTCTGTAGCCAAGCGAACCAGACGACAGTGGGAAATATTTTATAGAAATTGGCACAATGAGGTGAAGAAGAAACTGGCCGGAGAAAGTTCTGGTAATGGCGTTAGAGATAAGGGTGTGATCATTGGTGAGAATACAGGTGGTGTGGGTAATAACGAAGGTTCATACTCGGTGGATCCTGAAAATGATGAAATTTCTAGGGAAAATCATGTGAGAAGGACAGGAGAAGGTTCTGGTTTGGAGATTATTGGGAAAAAAGCTTATGAAATTGGTTCAGTGAGGGGTGATACAATAGGAAAGAAAAAATTGAATGGAGTTAAGAATGAGGACGTTGATGATCAACCTGTTGTTGGTGGAGTTAAACGCATGGATGAAAAGGTTCCCTCAACTGGCTCCTGTTCGAAATCCGGATTGATTCCAAATGATGGGAGTGTTGCTTGCAAGAACTGCGGGTTTCATAATGTTTGTACCGTAGTTGCAGATACTGTAGTTACTGTCAATGATGGGAAAAACAGTGGAGCACGACGTAGAGGAAGACCACGAAATGAACCTTTGAACAAGGGAAATGAAGTGCCTTTGCAGACTTCAGTCGATTTAGGGAAGTCCGCTGAGATGGTTGATTCAGGAGGCTCGGAGGAGTCAATGGATTCAGATGGATCACATGATGATTATTCGGATGAGGACTATGAAGCCAGCAGTGAAGAGGATGAAGATGATTCTGATGAGGTCTATGAAGCCGATCTTTGGTCGAGCTCTGGTGAATCCGATATGTCAAAACACTGCAATGAAGAAACAGATGACGATACGTATTCTGATAACTCTATGGGCGGTCCAATTAAAACGAAGGTCCGTCCAGAAGAAAAGGAGCAACCATTTGTCGATCATTCATTGATCTCTGGCAGTTCAGATTCATCGAGCTCCAATTTTAACCAACAAACAGAGAAAGATACATTTTTTGGTAATGATGTGAGCAGTGCCGGAGAGGAAGAAAAGGAGCAATCACTATCTTTGAGCTCTGGCAGTTCAGATTCATTGATCTCTGATGTGAATTATGTGGGCAGTGCGGGTCAAGAAGAAAAGGAACAAACACTTGTTGAACATTTATTGAGCTGTAAGTCAGATTCTTTGATGTCTGGCGATTCAGATTCATTGAGCTCTGATGTTAATTATATGGGCAGTGCCAATCGAGAAGAAAAGGAGCAATCGCTTGTCGATCATTCTTTGAGCTCTAGCGATTCAGATTCATTGAGGTCGGATTCGGAATCATTGAGCTTCGATGTTAATTATGTGGGCAGTGCCAGTCAGGAAGAAAAGGAGCAACCTGTTGGCCACCATTCATTGAGCTCTGGTGATTCTGATGTTGCAAAATATTTTGATAATTATCGGGGCAGTTCAATCACAACGAAGGTTGATCAACAAGAACAGCAACAAAGAGTTGTTGATCCATTGAGCTCTGGCGATTTCGATTTTTCAAAACATTGCAGTGGGGTCAATGAAGAAAAAGATGATGATGCATATATTACTATCCATGGGGCCTGTCCAATTAAAATGAAGGTTGACCCGGAGGAAAAGGAGCAGACAGGCGTTTCCGCTGGAAAGAATATGCTAACTAATGAGGAGAGAGACAGTGAATTGCCAGGTTTGAAAAGAAAATATGAACCATATTCAAAGGATGGTTCTCAGGAAGATGGAGATGGCACTGATACTGTGAAATTGAGCAAGCAAGACAGTGAATTGGCAGGTTCGAAAAGAAAATGTGAACTATATCCAAATTATGGTTATGTGGATGATTCTCAGGAAGATGGAGATGGCAATGCTGTGAAATTTAGCAAGCAAGACCATGAATTGCCAGGTACGGAAAGAGGATATAAACCATATTCAAATGATGGCCATTTGGATGATTCTAAGAAAGATGGAGATGGCACTGATACTGTGAAATTGACCAAGGAAGAGAAAAGACTTGAACTTGAAAATTTTAGTTGGCGAGTTCCCATCTCCAAGGGTGAGAAATCCAACTCTTCACTGGATGTGGAGTATAAATCATCAGCAAAGAAGGATAGCCGCAATGCTAAATGTGTGCAAAGAACAGGTCAGAAAGGTACAAGGAAGGTGGGGACATTTGGCAAGGAAAAGACAGGCGCGCCAAGAAATCTTGACTCGATTAAGGCAACGTTTGATTCCATAGAGAAGGAAGTTGATGAATCCACACCCGGTAAGAAGAAGACTGGCGCAGAAAGAAATCATTTGAACGTGTCAGTTGATTCCATAGATAAGGAAGCAAGTGAACCCACACCTAGTGAGAAAAGGACTAATGAAGCAATAAAGATGTTGGTAGATTTGATAGAGAAGGAAGCAGATGGACCCAAGGAATATTTCGCTCCTCTTAATAACAATCCAAATTCCTTGCCATTGAAATTCAGGTTTGAGGATGAGGAGCCATCTCCACCAGAGAAATCAGAATGGGAGAAAGAACTTGAATCTCTTTTCTGTGATTTGAATATGGGCCTCAGGGAAATTGAGCCTGGCTGCATAAATCCTTCCACGGTAATTTCAACTCTTTCTTTCTTTCTCTCTCGATTTGATTTAGTGTTAGTTATATCATTAGTTTCTGTTTACATTGTAATGATAATTGTCCGTCAGGATTATGTTTGGAGATATTCAAACACCCTTCAGCTCAATTTTTTTGTGGAATTTATCTCCAACACTTGCTAATGCATGAAAAGATTGTTAAGTTCAAGTCTGTTATTATTGTGTTCTATGAAAAAACGTGCTTTTTGGTATTATGATATTACTTTCTAGCCAAATTTCATTTTTAGATTCTTTTGATCCGTTCTGAAATAGCTGGGAGAAATAGAAATTTCCAAAAATCTGTTTTAAGTGCTATTTATCTAATAGCCTAACGGGTACTAATTTTGGCTTGCTGATCCGCAGGTTTGTGACAACAATGACGACGAATCCATCCCCCAAGTTAATAACAGCACTCCAGCAGGGCTGTGTCGTCGAGGGGAGCATGATCCTGTTTTCGATGAACAGATGGGAATTAAATGCAAATATTGTGCTGTAGTGCTTCTGGAAATTGAAGATATCCTACCACCATTTGTAAGTAATAAACTTGGCCATTTAGCTTTATAAGAATCCTTCTCGCCAATTAAATATGTTTACTCATTTCTTTGCATTTACTTTCAGGTCCTTTAAAATACGTGATAATGTGATTTTTTTAAATGTTATTCATTTTGTCATTATAAATCTGCAATACAAATTCATACAGAGAGCATGCTTTACTGAGCTTAAATGTAAGTAATGTTAGGAATTAGACAGATCAGTGGGGCATAAAATAATTCAAACTGAAAAGAAATAAAAATGCAAAAATAAGTGCAAGTACGACACACAAAGATTTAATGTGGTTTGACAATCGTGCCCACGTCCACAAATTCACACCAAAATTTCATTATATCAATGAAAGAAGAGGAGGAATATAAAATACGTTCTCTGTATTTTAGTTGTCTATGCAGAGGCAATTTCTTAATTTCCTCTTATTTAACTTTCTGCACAAATTGAAGTTAACTTTCTGCTTTTCACTCTTTGTGTTTTACTCTCTGTGTCTTTCTATAAAATTTCATTCTATACATTCTATTTATAGAGAATGCCCGGAGATCTTTCTCATTTTGTCAATTTGGCTACAATTGCGTGCATATTTATTCGGTACATTTAATGCCATTCCCAATTGCATCTGAATTTGAGAAAAACCAAAGTGAGATATGTGAAGCCTATATATTAGGCTCCACTATTGAACAAGTAAAACTTTAATTTCCGTTTTGTTCGAGATATTTTGAATATGTTACTTTGTTCTTGTTTATAACTGATTTTGACAGTAATGCAGAGCATATACTTTCAAATAAGTAACTTATTTCCAAATTTAACTTTCAAAATAATTATTTAGTTGTGAACTAACTTATTTACATATGAGTAATTATTATGCTTTAGCCATGCATGCACACAGTACTCTCTCATTTTGCCATCTTCTTTGCCAAGTTGTCAGCTAAATTTGATTTACACTATTGGATTGTTGTATTTTGTGCAGTATACGCCACCTTCCGGGAGGACGGACAGGAAAGACTTTGGTGACTCCCATAACCGTATCTTTGATCAGATTCAGTTTCAGGACACTGATTGTGGAAATCCCAGTTCCTCGTCCATTCATGAAACCGGCACGGATTGGAATTTGATTCTTAACACTGTAGATGGAATGTATCCTCATCAACTGGAAGGGTTTAAATTTATGTGGAAAAACATAGCTAGAGATGGTAACGGATGCATTATTTCACATGCCCCTGGTACAGGCAAAACCCGACTGACTATAGTGTTTCTCCAAGCATTCATGAACAAGAATCGGAAATGCCGGCCAGTAATAATAGCTCCCCGCGGCATGCTCCTCACATGGGAAGATGAATTCCGAAAATGGGGTGTTAACGTACCTTTTCACAATTTGAACAAACTAGAGTTATCTGAGGAGGAAAATGCTTTTTCTGAGAAATTAATTGGTCAAGTAGGTTCTCACTGGAGGATCCGGGATCGCATTCGTTTTGTTAAGGTGATATCTTGGTTGAAGAGTAACAGTATCCTAGGAGTCAGCTACCCACTGTTTGAGAAGCTTGCTGGAGAGCATCAGCGAAAAGAACAATATGATCAAATCAGGGAATTACTGCTTAAGAAGCCCGGACTTTTAGTTCTTGATGAAGGGCACACCCCTCGCAGTGACCAAAGTCTTACGTGGAAGGCTTTGGCAAATGTTGCAACAAACCGGCGCATAATGTTATCTGGTACTCCTTTCCAGAACAATTTCGAGGAGCTTTACAATACACTCTGCCTAGTTAATCCACTGTTTGCTGATCAGATCGATGAAATTCATCCAAGTTGCAAAAGGGGTAGGAAAATGATACATAGAACTCGTGGAAAACGGGGAACTTTGACCAAGTTCCTTAGTGAAACTACAAATGATCAATTGATGAAGCTTAGAACCATGATTGATCCATTCGTCCATGTACATAAAGGAACTATTCTTCAAGAAAGTCTCCCTGGACTGAGGGATTCTCTGGTTTTCTTGCGGCCAACTGAATTGCAAAATTCCCTGTTGCAAATTGCTTCAAATGGAAAGCCATTTCTTCATGAGGTTTGTTTGGTGTCCTTGATCTCTGTCCACCCTTCATTGGTGGCTGACCAAGAAATGTTCTCTGCTTATAAGAGTGAAATAGAAAGGATTGAATCAACAATTGATGCTGGAGTAAAAACAAAGTTTGTCACTAAACTAATATGGCTAGCTGATGCACTTGGTGAGAGGGTTTTGGTCTTCAGTCACTTCATCGATCCTTTAGTCTTTATCAAGCAGCAACTTCAGTCTCAGTTTTCTTGGAATGAAGGGAGGGAAGTACTTTATATGGATGGGAAGCTTGAACAGAATCAACGTCAATATTCTATCAACTCTTTCAACGATGAATCTAGTGAAGCTAAGGTGCTTCTTGCATCACAAAAGGCTTGTTCTGAAGGTATAAACTTGGTTGGGGCTTCAAGAGTTGTATTGTTGGATACTGCCTGGAACCCTTCAGTTGAAAGGCAAGCCATAAGCCGGGCTTATAGGCTTGGTCAGAAAAAGGTTGTGCATGTATATCGACTCATCACATCTGGAACTGTAGAGGTCCAAAAGTATGCATTCCAAGCTCATAAAGATCGCATATCGCAACTGATATTTTCTCCTACAGATGGACCCACTTGCCATAGTGAGACATCAAACATTGTATCTGAGGATAAAGTCTTTGAAGCATTGGTTGATGATAAAAGTATAAACCACATTTTTGAAAAGATAATTCATCAACCCAAAGCATCTGATCTGATTGATACTTTTGATTTTACGGATCTTAAGCTGTAACTCCATATGCTATTCATGTTCACTTTCAACAATTTTTTCTGTCCTACCTGGTGCCGAATGGTGCATCTTGCACGAAGGTTCTGTTATTTGTAGCTCCACCAGTTGCACTGGATCTGAGGAATTCATTCTGAAGATAAGGTTATTTCCATAGATGATATGTCTGAGTCCCTTCAAATTGTTTTCTGTGCTTTCGGATTCTAGCCTTTTATAAGTCTGTATACTCTGTTCACGTACTAGGAAATATGTTTGCAGGGGGATACAATGACTTGTTTCTTAAATTTACCTGTTTTATATCCAGGTTAAATTTCTGAAGTTGTATATTCCTGTCAATTGAGTTCTCAACCTCTCTTGTATTTTTTTCCCTATCTGCTTGTGATCGTCATTTGTACAATTTAATATTGAGGCATTTTCAAGAATGTCCAATTTTAATGGAATGAGTTGAAAAGTGTCCACTCATTTGAATTTAGTGTCAATTTGTCTATTATGCCCTTAATGAAAAGCTACATTTTGAAATGGTATTTTCAACATTTTAAATGTCGTTCTCGACATTTGATTTTTTTATCAATTTGGCACGAATTTTGAGAAGTGGCTTCCATGAAAAGTTACATTAAAATATATTCGGACGACAAAAAAAAGAAAAGAAAATATAATACTTTAAAAAAATAACGTAAAAACAAAAAATATGATACTTTAAAAAAAAAAATCATGTCTCCGTGACACGGAGACATTCTCGACATTTGCCTCCGTGTCACGGAGACATTCTCGACATTTGATTACCATTTCATTAAAAAAAAAAATTTGAAAAAATCATGTTTCCGTGACACGGACAAGTACCTCCGTGTCACGGTGATATTCTCGACATTACATATGTCATTCTCGACATTTGAACATTTCATTTGTCTAGAATAACATTTTATTTTGAACATAACATTTCTTGACATTTCAAAATATCGTTCTCGACATTTTTAAGTCAACGAAAAATATAGTATTTATTGTGATTTGACATGTATACTTTTGAAATAAATATGGCATGTTATGTGTCAAAATTTTATTCGCCAATAACAATTTTGCAAAAATGTCCATTTTTTTGTCTTAGTGTGGAATTAAAAATTGTTAATAAGGGTATTTTGGTCTAAATTTTTTCAAATTGGACATTTTTGCAATGGTTTGCAATAATGGGCATTTTTGCAAATGACTAGGTAAAAATGAACATTTGATGAAATTTCCTCTTTAATATTAATTGAGCTGACGTGTGTGTATATATCAATCCGGTTAGTGGCACAGTAAAAACAAGTAGCTCGCAGTTTTTAGGGGACCTTTGAACTTATATTAAGAAATTACAATGGAGGGGGGTGTTGCTAAAATTATATACCGTAAATGCATGGGTATGTTCAAGTAATAAAGTAGACTTTTAAGTACGAGATCGATCCCTCAAAGAGTGTTTTTTAATTAGGCAATTTTTTACTCAATTTTAATAATTGAAAACACAGAATTAGATTTTATATGTGAAAAGGGAAGGAAAATATATTTGAAGATCAATTGAAATAACAATTATGAAAGAGAAGGAAATTTAACTTATAAATGAGTTGGGATTTACAATGTTACTTAACCGTCATTTCTTTAATATCACAACAAATCGAAAATGCAAATTACCTCGTTACATTGTTAGACCTGATTTTCCAAATTTAGTTAATTACTTCTCTCGAACGAAATTGACCTTAATCAATTGGTTTTACCTACTACATTTCTATGTTGATAAAACCCCAACCGACCGCATTAAATTGTGATGAAAATAACTTAATGGGTCACCTAAGGTTTGAAGTATATCTCTATCTCCTAAAAAACTGTAGGCATTAATTATTTTGGTCAATAATGCACAACAATCTCTCAATAGTTACACAAACCACTCAATTCAATCATATATTGGCCACATACATGATGAAAATTTAAGCACAACAATAAATGCACAATAACATAGTAATTAAAACATTAAATGATGAATATTGGCATTAAGGAAACTTATGTCAAGTTACATCATAAATCTCAACATTAAACACTTAGCCCATTGTAAAATAGAAGCACAAAAATGAAATAAAAAAAGAACTCATTACAAAATGAAGGAGATAATGGAAAAATACAAGATAGTGGAAAAAACCGTCCCTTGAATATATTTTTGAAGAAATGAGGGATTGAAATTTTGAATATTCTTTGTAAACTCTCAAATTTTTGCTAGAAATTCTCCCTTCTTCTTGCCTCTTCTCTCTTTGAAAGCTTTTCTAAATGTTCACCTATATGTCTTGCCATTGAAGTGACCAACAAATGGGTATTTAAATGGCCAAAAATCATATTAAGTGAAATTGCGAAAGAGGTCCCAAAATTTACGCAAAATTTGCCAAGTCGGAAAGCGGTGCGCGCACAGGCATTTGTGACGCCCGCATGGTTAGATGCTTTTGGCCTCGGGATATCACAAAGAGCCTCCCGCGCGCGCAGGCTTTCTTCATTTTCTTTTTCCAACTTAGCCGCCCATTTAATTGCACACAAGGCTCTCATCTTTGATCATGAACAACTTGGTCCTCAAATCTTGATTTTCATATCACTTTGGCCCTCCAAAATTGCAACAATAGGCCCCTAAACTTTCAGTACTTGTACACTTTGGTCACCAAGTCCTGTTTTTGTGCACTTTTGGTCCTTTCTCCCTTCCTTTTAGCTCTTTTCTCAGCCAATTTGGACTTTTGGCCTACAAACACCATAATTACACAATTATAAATAGGAATCCACTCAATTTCATCAATAATTAGTTCATTAAAGTATCTAATAAGTATGTAAAAACACACTTATCAGAGGGCAAAACCCAACCTCCACTAATACAATAGATTTCTATATTCTACTATGAAGAAAAATATATAATGAGATGTATGGAAGACAGTTTACAACTTCAGCAGGATAACAGTCTGTTTGTCATCCTCCAGTCGATCTGACTGAGGCCATAGCCCATTAATCCATCGTCCTTTAAATTCTTTAGGCCTCAAAAATTTGAACTATTTTTCCTTGTATGCCACAATGGCAACACAATCTGCAATTTTATTCCCATCCCTCTAAGTCTCTGCTCGTGCTCGCATCTGCTGGATAGCTTCTAATTCATATTGAAGATTCCACGGTCCTTTATTTCTGTGATAAAGAACTCATAGAAACCCCACTCACCTGCGGCCTGTCTATCCCTATTTGATGTGCTATCAGAATTCAATTTGACCCACCGTGACCGAGGTTTCTTCCACAAGACAATAACAGGTTTGATTCTGCTTTACTCAAGTTCTCAACCATAAAATCAACTCTTTTAGTAATGGTCCCATTGCTGTTAGCATCATTCCTATCCACCCAAAGAAACCAAAAATGAGCAAAGGCAGAGCAGTAAGGAAAGTACCTGGGCCTGAGGGTTTATTTTGCAAATTTTCGATGCTCACTGGCACATAGATGCAATACTCACCCTAAACTATTTTTTTTTAACACCTCATCTACAGATATCCAGCCATTCCAAAGTCTCCATGAAAACAGAAATTTTGGGGGGTATATATTGATTCCCGATTTGCTTATGGGAAGATTGTATAATCATTCTTCTTCGAAGTTCTAAGTGAGTCCAGGCATGAGATAATTGAAAATTCTCCTCATATGGTTTGTCAAACCAGCTCCTTTATTTGCAGTACCATGCATGCAAGAACTCAAATACGTAAGCTTTTTTAGAGTAAGCTTGAACCACCTTATTGCTGAAGGGTCCAGACGACCATTTCTCAAACCAAAACGATATTTCCCATTCTCCCACCTTCCATGTGACGTCCCGAGATCTTTTTCACTATTATTATTTTTAAAAAAATAAAAATAGCTCGAGTTGTTACCAACATCTTCTTTATCTAATTCAAGCGAAAATATCACTTTCATTAAGTATTGAAAATGCATAAAAATAACTGTTAAACAATGTGCACAAAATTCAATATGAAGATGTTCTTCAAATAAAAGTTTGACAATTATATTTTCTAGCAAATTTTACTTGGCGACCCTATAAGCATCACTCGGTCAATCTTTCAAGCGTCCAAACTACTCGTTCACATCTGAAATGTATTGTAAGAATGAGTATTTTGAAAACACTCAGTAAAATACGTACACATTCTTATTCACATGATATAAATATAAAACTGACATAACATACCAACATTTTTTAGATTTAGAGTTCAAGGAATGTCTTAAGAATCCACACATCTTGTAGGATTTAACATCTTTGACCAAACGGTCCATCCCGTAGGATTTAACATCTTTCACCTAACAGTCCATCTCGAAGGATTTAACATAGAGTTCAACCCAAATATAGCGTCGACATATTGATGCCGAGGGTGAGTAGATCGCGATGGAGGTGGATCTGTGGATCTGTAGTGTGCGTGCGGTAGTGGTTCGACAAACTGGTGTGCGTGTGGCGTGATTGGATCTGTGGTTGGTGTGGTGTTTGTGGAATGGTGGGTGTGGTGGTTACGTGCGATGGTGCGAACTCGTGTGCGTGAGGCGGTGGTTCGACGAACTGGTGTGCGTGTGGATCTGTGGTGGGTATGGTGGTTATGGAATGGTGTGGGGTGGGTTTTGTTGGCTATGGTGGCGATAAAGGAGGCAGTGCTGGCTGTTGGGTGGATGTCGTGCTTGTGGAATGATTTGGGAGTGGTGCTGGCTGCGTTGGCGGTGCTGAAATTTATGACCGTGACTGTGACTCTCAATTGGATAGGTAATCTAAAAAATTGTGACCGAAAAATTAATAGTGACCAATAAATTCACTAATATTTGGATATATGATCTGAAAATTGTGACTGTGACTCTCAATTGTGACTCACATTAATGAAATTGTGATCGAAAAATTAATCATGATCAATATAGCCAATAATTTGCAATAAAAACGATCTGTGACCTAAAAAATAATGGATTTTGTGATCGATAAATAATCCGTGACCTATAAAATTTTTGGATTTCGTGATTGATGAATAATCCATAACCTATATCGTGATCGAAAATATTTCTGTGACCTATAAAATTTTTGATTTGTGATCGAGAAATAAGTTATGACCAAAAAATTTGATAAGTTGTGACTAAAATTTAATCTGTGAGTAATTAATGAGATAATTGTGACCTCAATATATTTAATTAATAAAATGTATATTTAATAAATTAATTTAAAAAAATTTTAAAAATTTGATTTTTGAAACTTTAAACCATTGTTCTTAATTTTGAAAAGGGGTATACTTACCTTCTTAGAAATGAATTTTTCCCTTATTTTATTTGCTAAGCGACCCATATTAAATTTAGGCCCATATGAAAAATAGTAAAAAAGGTCGGGGTGCTACATTCCAATTCCACCCGCTCCCCAGCTTTTATCAATCTCTACCATACT